AAATTTGCTGTCACTAATTTGAATTAAACTTTCTAAAATATTCAGTATCCAAGCCAAAAGGGTATTCTGAGAACTGATTTTGTCTTAGAGTAGATTGAAATACTGAGATGCAGATGTAATTTAGATAGTTTTTCTTGTGATTAAGCTTCTTGATCACAGACTTTTCAAGATATTTGGAATCCAAACCAAAAGGTATTCTGGAAACAAATAGTAGTTAAAAAACCCTTGCTGAGATAGTAGAAACTTGAAGAATTGCCTATACAACTATAAAACTTACAGATGAACCTCACATACTCTCATTGACTCTCTGTTTTTTTTCAGAAAAATTTATAAAAAAGTGAACAACTTAGTTTACTCTACAAAAGATTGACATATTGTTTATTTATCAAATTAGTTAGCATTGTTTACTTTTTATCTGTTACAACAAATATATAAATATATATGAAACTAAACATTTAGACAAACAATTCAATAATTTTTTTATTTGCATTTTGTAATGATGATATATATTTTTTTATTAAATTAAGAAGAGAATTGGTGACCCTACTATTTTTTATTTTTATCTGATTTTTTACAGTGTATTTTGTAATTATTAATTAGTGAAGACTATTAAGTTAACTTTATTAATCTATGCTCTTGCAATTATAATTGCATATTAATATACACTAATCAATTTTTTATAACTTATACTATCTGTTCTTAAATTGTAATAATAACCTGGTACTTTATCATCAGAGCAAGTAAAATTATGCTATTACTGAATATATTAGTATCATCTACATCTTTTTCATTATTATTATATTGTGTTATAATCTGAAGAATCATTGAATATACTTGCCTGTATTTTGTTTAATTCTTCTTGAATTATTTCTGGTAATTTCTAAAGATTTTTTATGCTAATACTAAGAAATATTTTTAAAAATTCCCAATCATATGCAAGTTAATAGACATCAATATCAATATAATAAATTTGTAAAATATATATAAAAGTAAACATGATTATATATGCGAAATCAGCAAATGGAATCAGCTTTATTAATATAAAAAATTAAAAATTAATACAAATTAAAATTCAAGATGTAGATACATTCTGAAAACCTAAACTTTTTTTTGTTTAATCTTTCAGTACTATGAGAAGAAGTGCCTAAATTACTTTTTTCTCTTGATCTTTTTTAAAACTATTTACAATATTTTGCAAATTTACAATAACCCCATTTTGAGGTTATAGATTTTCTTTATATTAGTAGTATTGCATAGCAAATATATATTTCAAAAATTTACTTAGTATAGTTAAAAGAATACTTACTTACAAAGTCAATAGAGCATAAACAAATTCTTTCACTTTCTTAAATTATTTATTATCCAAGAGTATTTTTGCTTTAATAACTAGTATATAATAATTTATTCTATTTTCTTTTATCAATCTATAAATCTCAAAATATTTACTTGCAATATTAACACCAAATTCTATATAGTTTAATAGAAGATCTGTTTTATGCATTTTTTTACAAGCTCTTTAGAACTATTTAAACAAAACTGTACTAATTTATTATAATTATAGCAAATCTTATCTTCATTAAAATTATATTTTTTGCTATCAAAAAATACAATTTCTTCCTATTTTTGACAAAGAATATAAGATCTAGTCTATTACCTCTTGATTCTTTTTTTGCTAAACTTTGCAATTTTTATTTGCAATGCTCTGACATTCAAACCTTGTTACCTCTATCTTATAATTTACAGGCAAATAAAACATAGCCATATTAATTAATTGAGCTATAATCTCTACTAATGTATTTTCTGATCCTTCAAAAACCCTATTAAGGATATTTAATTTGATTTTCTGCAAAAGAACATCAGTAATCTCCTTTGCTATATGTTCTTTAATGTGATTATCTTTCATCTATTGGCTATATATCACTACATCTTGCAATACAACTTTATACAGTTTTTGAATTTCATTTCTCTTTGATATAAAATCATTATATATATTCTTTACTATAATATTTTTACTCAAGTTTTTATATTAGACTTTGTTCTCTATTAATATTAATTTATATTAGAAAGCCTCGTCAGATGGACTTCAATCTCAAAAATGCAGATATTATACACATACTATGATAGATTCATAATCATTTTCTTTTTTTTTTTTTTTTTTATTTTGAATTTGCTGTATATATGATAAAATTAGTTACAGATTTATATCAAGATGATATTAATTTAAACTATCTATATCTTGTATAACCACCTAAGTGTAGCAAATCACCTCTTAATTTTTTATTTATAAACTAATTTAAGACTAGCTACTATTAGTTATAGAGGGGGAAAGAGGAGGCCCAACAATCCTTTTCTAAAAGATTATATTTTTTGAGCTAAGATCAATTACTCCAATACACAATGGATCATCTTTTGATAATTTATCAATATCTATATTGCTTAATTTTGTGAAAATATAGCCATGTGTTGGTGTATCTTTTTTTTAAAAGATTGAAGGAAAAATTAGTTTATGTAAAATTCAAAGAAATAGTTAACCGATTACCTCGATTTTATCCATTAAAAGATAAATATTTTTTAAAGCCAAATCTTTCCAATTTACTTCTTCATCAAAATTTCCCTGTAAGAACCCCATATTTTTTAATGACATTAGCTCATTTCTAACAAATCGCATCTATAAAAAAGAGATAAATTAATAAAATTCAGAAAATCATCATTATTTTTTGTACAAATATCCATACTAATCAGAAATAGCTGGCATTATTGTCTTAACATCATAATAAATGTATTGGAAGAGATTCTCGCTGACAATAGGTCGCTTTTTCAATTGCATTACACTTATTACTGTCTAGACATAATATTCATCATTTAATTTTCAAATATACGAATATCAAAGTAGTATAAATCACCTGATCTAGATTCTGTAATGATTTAAGATGGTTCTTACGATTTTTATCAACAATTTCATTTTTCGCTTTTTCTAGGATTTTCGTGAGGCAATCTAAATCTTCTTCTTCTGTTTGAATTTTGAAAAGCTTCCATTTTTGTATAATAATATTGAAAGTGGTTATTTTATCAAAGGAAGAGATTATCAAAAGTTATACAATGAAGCGAAGGTTTCAGTGATGTATGCATTCTGTAAAAGATCTTGCAAGATATTTCCAGAATGCAAATCTCTATGGTTAATTCCTAGGAATGAATAAATTTAAGAGACGAAGTCACACTATACAGCAGATTTAATGTTTTTTCCCAATTCATTTTTACAACTTTAGAAAGATTTTCACGCAATGATCCTTTCTTTGCATATTCCAAAATATAATCTTTTGAAACTAGATTCTTTGATACTCCGTAGCATTTTAAAAACAATGGATTTTCATATTCAATTTCACAATGCTTTTTTAACTATTAGATAATTAAATCGCTTAAATGATAAAATAAGTACAAATTAATTAATTAATTAATAATATCTCATCAACAAATTCTTAAATATATTTGTTGAATTATGAATTAATTTTAGTGCAACATTTCTCCATATACTTTTTATCAAACCAATCAGCATAATATACAGTTGCAAATCCACCTTTTCCAATTCTTTTACGTTTTTAAATTCGTTATAACAAATCCACGATAGTTTATACTTTCACTTTCTTTGATTTATCATAATCTAAGCCATTGCGCAATATATACATGTTTATATTTTTCATACTTCTTCCCTTTCGATGCCAATGATTAGCCCATTGTATGTCTCTTACTATTCCTATTCCATTTCTATAACAGTCTCCAACTTTTATCATTCCTCTAATATCCCCATATTTGCAGATTTTTGATAATATATGAATGCTTTATGTTCATCCTTTTTAAATCCAATTCCATGATAATAACAATATTCAACTTGATTTATTCCTCTAGCGTGCCCCATTTCTGCAGATTTTTGATAATATGTGAATGCCTTAAATTCATTCTTTTCAACTCCAATTCCTTCATCATAACAATATCCAAATATTATATATTTCACTAACGTGCCCCATCTCTGAGGATTTTTGATAATATATGAATTAGAGATGGGCAAAATGGTAGTTTTTCATGTAATGCATGCGCATGGTATGCCGCATGCATGCATGCATGCATGCATGTTATATGCAGCATGACTAAAAATCAATTTATTAGTTTATAACATGATTTTTATTTACCCGATCAAGCAAAAAGTCAAAGCATTAATAAAAAAATATTGGAGGTTTCAAGATTAACTTATTTCGAATAAATGGGAGTTTAAATGTCCTATTTTCTGTTTTAAATTCTGAATAAAAAAAAATTAAATAGGTGTAGCCGATGATAAAATTAGCTGCTTTCGATATATATTTACTAATAAGCGGCTATGCAAATAAGTATATACTTTAAAAACATAGGATTAATACGTAACTTGTTTTGAAATAAATACATCACTTGTTTTATCTGAAATCGGACGCCGTATCATTAATTCTGAAACCCCTTATTAGGCAATTTATTATAAATTACTTTCTTTAATTCTGACCTTACGCTAATTAAACAATTAAAAGTATGAGATCGCATCTAGCTTTAGCATTAGGGTATTATATGTTGTTCGTTTGCAAGTATTGTATCAATGTCTGCTAAAAGATTGAGTGATTAACAACTAAGTAAGTTTAGACAAATTCAATCCCTCATAGTTAGTGTCGAATTTAAGTATATGTATCTAACGAATTTTTAATAATAAAAGTATGTTGACGAAAAAGTTTATAGATTTAAAATTTATAAAGATAGTGTGCATCAGAATTCATAAACTCACGTATAATAGGTCTTTATTACATTGCGTATCCATATCAAACAATTTAACGAAATTTTTTGATATTAATGAACGCTTTATATTTCATCTTTCTAATCCTTACTAACATTTTCATTCAGAGATTTTATTTTTATCTTCGTTCAACCCAAATTTTACCTTACATTCAACTTTTTAAACTCCAACTTGATTAATGAACTTTATACGTTCACTTTTTAACACTAATTCCACTTGAATTTCCTATTTTAGCCGATCTTGAGAATGAAATCTTTGTCTTCATCTTTAAATCCCAACTCTTTAATATTTCTATTTTAACAAAATAATAATACTAAATAATGAATGTTAATATATAGCTTAACTACATTTTAAACTAACAATTCCCATTTTAACAATGAATGCCTTCGTTCATTTTTTTAATCCTAATGTTAATTATATTAATGTAAACGATACCTTTGATAATGAATGCTTTATGTTTATCCTTTTTATCCCTAATTCTGCTATTTGATAGATTAATAAATGCCTTATGATCATCTTTTAGCTGAATTCGAATTAATTCTACTGCAGATTTTGGTTTTAAATTCAATTTCGCATTCCAATGAATTAATGTTTCAAAACATTCATTCACTTTCACTATCTGTATCACTTTCGGTTGTGAATTCCGATTCTGATTCAGACAATTCCATGGCTTCATTCTCATTATCGCTTTCAATTAATTCACCTTCACTACTTTCATCTATATCACTATCGGGATCTAATAATTCAAATTTATCATTGTTATCATCAGATCTATTATTGAAACGTTTTACTGCCTCTGTCACATCAGATGATTCTAATTTCGGGCATGTAAGTTTGTAATTACTGTAAATATATACAAGTTTTAATACTCGCTGTGGTGTCAACCGATTTCGTTTTTTATCATGAATATAAGAAAAATTGGACCAATTTCGTTCAGCAGCGGCTGATGATGATGGAATAGTAAGAATTCTAGATGCAACTTTACATAATTCAGGTGATGATTCTTTAAAATTTCCCTCCTACCAGGAAACTGGATCTAGGGCATCTACTGCATTCCAAGCCATACTTAAATTAAATATACCAGTTCGAGTTTTATACTGAAGTAATTGCCTCCAAATAATATCTGCTTCATTCGGATAATACTTTCGAATAAATGTTGAAATAGTTGACATGCCATTGGCTGGAAGTTTATTTCCATGGTATCGTGGATCTAACAAATGAGCTACTGACATTACAGGTTGATATATTTTTTGCCACCAGTTTTTTAATAAAGTTCTAATCCTAAAATCTACTGCGGGAAAAACATAAACTGAACCAAAATATTAAATTTATTAATAAGTAAATAAAACTTTAAGTATCGCTGGTTGAATGATGACAAATTGGATACAAATTGGGTATCTGATTTTAAACTAATTACTACCCAATTACTACCCAATTGACGTCGATTTATGTTGCAACATAAATCGACATCAATTGGGTAGTAATTGGTAGTAATTAGTTTAAAATCAGATACCCGATTTGTACTCCATTTAACCAGCGCATATATTTATATATTATTTGTTTACCATCGGACTCCAATTGTTCGTGATACCATTGATAAAATAACGCTAATTTTGGCATATCAGACTCAAAAGTAGCAATACCCGCAACCAACTTATCTAACACTGTTAGTAAAGATTCAATATCTTCCCAAAAATTCTCACTATTTATAGCATTACTAATAGTATTAGGTATTTCAATACGATTATCATGAGCTAACTCAGTTATGATTAATTTAAGTGCAAGTTGATTTCGAACAAGTGAATTAAGGCACGTTGCTGAGGATCCCCATCGTGTTTTAACTGGACATTTAAGGGATATTCGTCGATCATATGAAGCTAATTGGTGTCGCTTTAATATAGCTTTTGGAATTTGATGTCTTCGAAAATATTTAACTACTATCTTTGCTTGTTTAAATATATTTGCACTCCATTTTAATCTCATTATATCACCAACTAAAAGATTTAAGCTATGCGAAATACAGCCTAAAAACAGAATCTCAGGATAATCTACTTCTAATAAGCGCTACGCCTTCTTCATAACAGAGGCATTATCGGTAACAATTGCTGAAATTTTTGATATGCTTACTTCGGTCATTATTTTTTCTAAATTATGAGCAATGGTTTCACTATTTTGGCGTACGTCATTAGTTGGATAAGCCGCATAAAATATGGGCCTTGGTGTTGTTAAAATATAGTTAGTCCAATGCTCTTGTACTAAATTGGACCATCCGTCTGATACAAGACACAGGTTTTTGTTATTATTAATCAAAGTCTCGACATCTTTTTTAGTTTCATCATAGATCTTATCCAATAAATTGGTTGAGAGTTTTTTTCGACTAGGTAATTTAAATGCTGGCCGTGCTTGTTTCCACAATTTTTTAATTGGTTCCATTTCAGGTAATGATAAAAACAAGCCACACTGAAATACTGATCGTGCGAATTCCAATTCGAGTGATTTTTGTTCTATATTAGACATGCGATCAACTGTAACATAATTTGTGATTCGAGTTCTACTTGTTTTTCTAGCACTAGTAAATACTCTTTCATTGGATGCAGATGAAGTTGAAGCTACTAAATTAGATGTGGATGAAGAATTTGCTATAGCTAAAGTAGATGCAGATGTAGATTCAGCTGAAGTAGATGCGTCAGGTATATTGATAGATATATTACTATCATTTTCTTCTTCATATGAATCGCCAAAGTAATTTTTTCTTTGTTCTGATGTAATTAGAACACAGTTTCTAAAATGTGTACGTGCGGCTCTAAGAGAATCATTAAATTGGTTATGACAATATTTACATTCTCTTCTTTTTTGCTTGAACCCAGTTACATGTCCGAGTTGAATAAAATGAATCCAAATAGGATCGGACATTTTTTAAAAGAAAATAAAAATTTATGTCCAACTTTTTTTTCAATTTACTAATAATTTATTTTAAAAAATTTTTATTGGTTTACTAGCATAGTAACCCCTGCTTCGCATAAATCAAATATTTACCAGATATATTAGAAAAAACCAGATTTATGACCTGCGTTTCGTACAGACCCATCTGGAAAAATTGTAAATGGAAGTATTTAAAAGCTACGTACTTACTACTGGTTACATAATTCCATCCTGTTAGTTCCAGTCACTGGTCGAATGATGGCAAATCGGGTACAAATCAGGTATCTGATTTTAAACTAATTACTACCGCTACCCGATTACTACTCGATTGATGTTGGTTTATGTTGTAACATAAATCGATATCAATCGGGTAGTAATCGGTAATAATCAGATACCCAATTTGTACCCAATTTGCCATCATGAGTATTCTTCAAGCTCAATAAATTATCACTTAACAATCTAATAGTAACTACGTACGTCATATATCCAAGCAAATAGTTGTGACCATAGTATCCTAATTAGAAAATCTCCTGTCGCTTGTAGCCAATTCAGATATATGCATTCTTATTATCTAGAATTTTTAATAAAATTATAATATCAAATATTTTAGATATTTGAACGTGATAGATACAAAAAATTTTCATAGCCTTTCTAAGAATCAAAATAACAGATCGGATTTTGGCCAATTCTCCATTCAATAACATGATCAAGTTCGTAAATTACCTTGTCCAAAAAATGAAGTCTAAGTATTAAAATAATTAGAGTTATAAATTAAGATATAAATTAAACAATTTTCTATCGCTATAAATTGAAACTTATAACGAAATTCTTTATTGTCTTTTCCATTGCACATATTTCTAAGTACCTTTAAGATCGTTTTGCATATTGAGTATAAACGTTTTTTGAAGCATTCTTTAAAATATAAAAATTAACTACCTGGGAATTTATTCAAATTAGTCAGTCATATAACGTTCTTCTATGATATACTACTCATAAATCAATTGTCAAGGATACCTTAACAGTTTTTAAATTAGGTTTTTAATATCAAATTTTTAAGAAAAACGATTTGTAAGTACACAGAAGGCAATTTCGAATAAAACTTAGAGTAAATTGATTTTTGTGTTCGTTTTGTGTTATACTTGATCTCGAAATTTGATTGGGCCAACAAAATTTTCTAAGGTACGTAGCTAGGGTAGTTATACTTAGATGGACCAACCATGCGCATGCATGCATGCATGCATGCATGCATTCATGCGCATGATGCCCATCTCTAATATGAATACCTTATGTTCATCCTTTTCAATTCCAATTCTGTATCGATAACAATATCCAAAATTATACATTCCACTAGCATGCCCATCTCTGCAGATTTTTGATAATACATGAATGCCTTATGTTCGTCCTTTTCAATTTCAATTCCATGATGATAACAATATCCAATATTATATGTATCCCATCTCTGCAGATTTTTGATAAAATATGAATGCCTTATGTTTATCCTTTTTAACTCCAATTAGGCCAGACCAATTTAATTCTTCGTTTAACATACCCCCCCACTATTTTTTAAAATTTATATGAACCCAATACTCATTAATAGTAATTAATAGTATTTACCTCCCCTCAATTTTTTAAATTTTATATAACTAACATATGTTAAATCAACCAATAAAATTGCTGTTTTTTTTTAATTTGT